AATACTTTCAATAGGATTGGTATCAGCTCCTCCTTGTATATTTTGTAGTTCTGCTGGAGAGCCATCTGTTCCAGGACTTTTTTTTTTTTTTTTTTGTAGGTAGTTTTCTTATGACATAGTTGATTTCCTGGGTTGTTATTGGTCTATTTAGGGACTCAGTTTTTTCTTGTTTCAACCTGGGGAGGTTGTGTGATGTCAGAAAGTCCTCCATTTCATTTAGGTTTTCAAGTTTGTTTCCATACAGGAGTACATAGTAATCTCTGATACTCTTTTGTATTTCTTCAGGATTGGTTGTGACTTCATGTTTTGCATTTCTGATTGTGTTTGGGCTTTTTCTCTCTTTTTCTTGGTCAGTCTAGCTAGGGGTCCATCAGTCTTGTTTATTCTTCCAAAGAACCAGCTTTTTGTTTCATTGATTTTTTGGTATTGTCTTTTTGTCTTCTATGTCCTGAATTTGCTTTTATTTTGGTGATCTGGGTTTTGGCTTTTATTTGGTGATATGGATATTTGGTTTTTATTTTGGTGATCTGGATTTTGGTGATCTACTGAGGTTAAGGTTTTCATGGTCTTGCTTTTCCCGTTTCCATAGGTGATTTGTTAGGCTGTTAACTTGTGATCTTGCCATTTTCTACACATGTGTTTGTAGAGATTTGAATTTCCCTCTTAGTACTGTTTTCATGGCATCCCAGAGATTTTGGTAAGATGTTTCCTTGTTTTCATTTGTTTCCAAGTATCTTTTGATCTTTGTTTTGATTTCCATGTTGACCCAGGAGTTGTTCAGTATCATGTTGTTATTGTCCATGTCTTTGTGGGTTTGGAGGGAACTTTGTTGGTGTTGATATTTATTTTCATTCCACTGTGGTCTGAGGAGGTGCATGGCAGAATTTCAATCTTATGGAATTTGTTTATGCTTGATTTATGGCCAAGGATGTAGTTGATCTTAGTTCCATGTGGTGATGAGTAGAATTTGTAATTCCATGGTTGTTGTGTGGAGTGTTCTGTAGGTATCAATTAAGTCCATTTGGTCAAGCGTCACATTGAGTTTCCGAATCTCCTTGTTGACTTTTTGTCTTGATGATCTGTCTAGGGTTGTTAATGGGGTGTTTAAATCCCCAGCTATGATAGAGTTAGAGTCAATATCTTTTTTTAGTTTACCTAGAAGTTCCTTTATGAAAGTTAGTGCACCTGTGTTGGGTGTATATATGTTTAGGATGAATATTTCTTATTGAAGGATTGAACCTTTTGTCATTATGTAGTGACCTTCTGTATCTTTTTAAATTTTGGTAGCTTAAAGAGTATTTTGTCTGATATTAAGATTGTAACTCCTGCTTTCTTTTGTGTTCCATTCACCTGAAATTTTGTTTCCCATCCTCTTACTTTGAGTTTATGAGTGTCCTTTCTGGTGAGATGAGTCTCTTGAAAACAATATATTGTTGTAGCAGATATTTTATCCAATTTGCCATTCTGTGTCTCTTTAGTGATGCATTTAGTCCATTCACATTTAGGCTGATTATTGAGATGCAAGAGTTTATTCCTGTCATGAGATTCTTTTAGAGTTGTTGCTTCTGTTTGTTTGTTGTCTTTCTTTTGATTTTTGGGTTATTTATGTGTGTTTTCCATCTTTTTTCTGCATTCTTGTGAAGGTTGTTGTTATTCTTTTTTCCCCTTCCTTCTGTATTTAATACTTTCTTAAGTGTTTCTTGTAGAGTTGGTCTGGAGGCAGTGTAGACTCTTAGGGATTGAATGTCTGGGAAGGATTTTAATTCTCCATCACTGATGAATCTTAGCTTAGCTGGGTAGGTGATTCTTGGTTGAAAATGTTTATCTTTGAGAACTTTGAAGATTGGGCTCCAAGCTCTCCTTGCCTGAAGGGTTTCTGTAGATAAGTCTGCAACTCTTCTACTTGGTCTTCACTGGTAAATATTCTGACCTTTTTCCCTTTCTGCCTTTAGGATTTTTTCCTACTTTGTGTATGTGAATTACTATGTGTCAGGTGTTGGTCTTCTCATTTGTTGTCTTGCAGGGGTTCTCTGAATCTCTTGTGTTTGAATGGTCATGTCACTGATGAGATGAGGGAAGTTTTTTTGGATAATTTCATGGAATGTTTGTTCCAGGGTGATCTCTATCTCTTTGTCTGCCTCAGAGATTCCAATTAATCTTAGGTTTGGCCTCTTGAAATAATCACTCATCTCTTGGAGATTTTGTTCTGTCTTTTAAAGCTTCTTTTCTATATTTTTAACATGGGTTAGTTCCATATTTTAGTTCTCAAGTTCTGAGATTCTTTCTTCTACTTGGTTAATTCTACTTTTCATGCTTATAAGTTTCTTATTTTTTCATTTACTGTATTCTTGATTGCTGTTATCTCAATTATTAACTCCTTCATTATTTCCTCTTGTCTCTCCGCATTTCTGTTTATTTTCTGTATTAGTATCTTGATATCTGGGTTTGTGGTTTGAGACTGGTTGTTCTGGGAGCTTTTCATTGTTTGAGCTCTGGAATCTGTTTTCTCAGTGGCTGACTTCCTAGGATCTGTGTGAGATTCATATCCTTCCTCTCATCTTTCTTCATTTGTGTAGGTTTTCCTCCTTCCCCCCTTTTAACCTCTTCTTTAATTCTGTTGTTCAGTGATAGGAGGATAGCTTTTATTTCTATTTGCTCAATCTCCTATTCTTTCTTGTGTAGATCCTCTGGTTTGGTTCAATTCTGAAGCTGGACTGGGGGTGGAGGTTTGTGCTTTTTGCAGTTTTGAGATTTAATTAAGGGGGGGAGCTATGATTCAGATGCTATCCACAGATCCTAGTATCCACTGACAGGTGTGTGAGCCTCCTGGAGCCAACTTCCCACAGCTTTACAATCTGTCCATGCAGTGGGGGTGTCTGTTTGCCCTCTGAAAGCAAAATGAGACAAGACAAGGAAAAAGAATGGAAAAAGAAAGGAGGAAGATGAAAGGAAGGTAGAGAGACGAAGAGGAAGAGGGAAAACAGACAGGCATACCAACTAATGAATAAACAGAGAAACAAAGAGACAGAAAAAACAAAAAAGACAAAACCATACAGTCACACAAACAAACAAACAAAACTTCTTGGTGTATTCTCCCTCACAAATACCCATACTCAAACATAAAGTCTAAAAAAACCCATTAAAAAAACAGAAACAAAGCAAGTACAAAAATGTAAGCAAAAACAGAAAGAGAGAGAGAGGAAAAAAAAAGCAAAAACCAAAACAAAGAAGAAAAAAAAATACTTGCTCTGTGACTGTTTCTGTAACTTCAGGTTCCTTTTGACTGCCAGCTCCTTCTTAGGGAGTGGCTCTGGTCTCTAGCTCCTCCCCTCTGCTCTCAGCTCTGGCTGATAGGGTTGCTCTCAGCAGGGTTCAGATACCCCACAGACTACTGTGGGAGGAGGATGGATCAGATTTGGACTCACCCTACTCACTGCTGCTGCTGTCAAGTCTCCCACTCAGATCTGACGTGTCTGTGCCTGTCCCAGCGTGGGAGAGGGACGTCTGTCTCTCCAAGTCCAATGAAAGAATAGCCTCTGGGTCCCAAGATGGAGGTTGGGTGGAGCAGTGCAGGTCTCTGCCTGGTCCTGGTCCTGGGTCCTGTCAACGTCTCGTCACTGGCATTGGAGCTTTATTCCAGATTTCCATGACCTGCCTTCTCCACGGTTTTTTGTGCTTGTGCCTGGTCTACTGCTGCAGGTGATGATGTGGGCCAGGTGCCAGGTGGTGAGGAGTGGCTGTTCTCTGCTGCCTCCTCTCAAGAAACCCCCAAGAACAGCAGATGATCCTGCACACCCAGGTCTCCAATCTCAGGGCGGTGGTGGGTTGCTGTCACCTCTGGATCAGAGTCCTGGGTGCATGAACCGAAGCCTCCCCTCAGACAGACTTTCACTCACCCACTAGCACATGCCCACTCACACAGAGAATCTTTATGGACATTCGTTTTTGTGGAGACTCTCACAGTCTGACCTGTTCTGTCAGCGTCTTGCCCGATAGCCCCTGAAAGGATATTCTTAACCACACTAACCACATTTCCAGCCAACTATATAATGTCAGTGGTGCAGGGGGCATTTCCACAGGTGTTAAGTCTTCTCGAGACTCTCCTTCTGTCTGCCTAACCAGCTTCTGACGATCTCCTCTTACAGATACAAAATTAAGTTTTTGTAAATATGTTTAGAAACGTGACTTGAAGTTTAAGTTCCTGTCTAAGAAATAAGAAAAAGGTTTTTACATTCTGTTCAGTTACATTTATAGTCATTTATTATCTACCTACAACCTGCAATGTATTGTAGACATATTAAGGGTGCTGAATATGAAAAAGCTAGTCTTTGCTTTCTAGAGGATCATAACCATAAAGGAGACCTGCACAATTTTATTTTAAAGCACATGTGGATAAATCCTAGAAGAGAAATATAGCTAAAGTGATGGGATGACAAGGAGGAAGGGGAGAATTGTATTTATTGGAAAGATCTGAGCAAGCTTAAAGATGGTGGGTTTTGAACTAATTCTTAAAGGATGGATAGAACTTTATCAGATAGATGGTGGTTATTCTAGATAAGTAAATAATCTTGAGCACAGGGCTGGAAATAGAAGTGGTGTTGCTTTTAGGAATAGAAAAAACAACCATTTGTTCTTGGGGCCTACGGTTTGAGAAGGTATACAAGTTGTAGAGTAGGTGGGGCTAAGTTCATAATACTTTGTCAGAGTATTTCAAATTTAAAAATCTTTTTTTCAAGCATGGCTTATTATTCACTTGGATGTGCTGGGAGGCAAATTGTATTTTCTTAATACTCAGTTGACAAATACAGTGAAAGCTTGGAACCTAGTCAACCTGTAAATTGAGCTTTGTCATTTCTTTTCCTCAATGAGATAACATACTATATTTGCAATGATACAGACTCTTATCACTAGATTAGAAAATACCATATGTGACTAACATGTGATTTCAGTTTCACTTTAGTATTCGATCTTCATGGTTTACACACCCTTTATATTTGTTTCAGTGAAGAAGAAATAAAAGATTCACAAGATGAAGATTTTCCAGAAGGGACTTTGAATTAAAGAAGGATTTTTATATTTGACAAGTAAGTCTATATTTTATGTGTTAAATTTGGTCGACAAGTGAAAATTTCATAGTTTTTATTTCTTCAATTATCTGTTCTGTTGCAGAGAGCTGTACCGTGGGTAAAGGTTATGTATTTTGACTGGCAGTCAGATAGTTATGTAACTAGGTTGACATCTGAGTGGAATTGGATTGAAACTTTTCTATCAAGTCAGTGAATGTAAGAAGTCCCCTATGAAACTGAATTTTGTAGGTGGCATTATTTTATCTAAGGTGGTGTAGAATAGTGATCTACTGTACATATAGAAATGAACTGTCCTAAATACAAGCTATATAACTATGTGGTTACTGAAAGAACAGTGGGCTCTCTTTATGAGAGCTGCTGTATTTATTAGCATGCTGTGTAGATTTCCTTCCAGTTGTCATTATGGTTGCTTGAAAACATCCATATAAAATGGACGTTGCCATATCAGATTAGTTTGTAGAGTCTAATCTGTCAGTAATGCAATTTCTGTTTCTTAGAAATTATTTTTCTAGTCTTGTAAAACTTGTCTCAAAACTGCTAGTGTTTGTTGGGCATGGTGGAATGAGCCATAGTCCCAGCTACTTAGGAGGCTGAGGCAGGAGGATTGCTTGTCTAGCCTGGAATTCAAGACCAGCCTGGGAAGCATAGTGAGACTCTGTCTCTTAAACACACACACACACGCACGCACACACACACACACACACACACACACACACACACACACACACACTCACACACACCCCTAGTGTTTTCCTTATTCATGCCAGGTAAAGGAAGCTCTCTTTATGGGTAGAGAAATTAAGAAATGCACTCATGGAGTACTGAGGTATTACAGTCTATAATTTTAAGGAAATCATCTACATTCAAAATCAGTTTAAGTGAAACTTTAGGTTAACTATGGTGTTTGTGGTGTATATTGTAGTCAATTAGACCAAGTTTTGCTGAGAAGAATCACTGGAAAATAAGGTAAAGATTTTTGCGTAGAAAAGTATTACATCATTTGTGATTCTAATTTGTATTTCTTCCTCCCTATTATTCTGCTACAGGAAAGAATAATGCACTGTAGTTGCAGTCTATCTCAAATCCATAAACTTCTATACCCAAGTGTCATATTAAACTATTAATATTTTTTCTTTTTGCTTCATTGATTGTGTAGTATATTGTGGTTAGGAGGTTGGGACCCAAGCTTTGGAAGCAAACAGACTGTACTCAATAGAGATAACTTATCTAAATACTCAACATCTCTAAGCCTCAGCTTTCTGGTCTGTAAAATGAAGCCAGTAATACCCTTCTCACAGGTATTTGTGAGGATTAAATAAAACACTGTATGCAAAATGTCACTTGTAATAAATACTCAGCAATGGTAACTACTATTACTATTATCTATTCTTCTACCATATATGCAATTTTTTCTTAGATAATCAAGCTTAAGAAATTGCATTTTAAAGAATGATATCAGAGCAGAATTTGTATACACATCAACATATGCACTATACAACGCTAAGCATTCTCTGCCAATATTTTATACAACTTTTGTTTCTGGAGGACGTACTTGAAATCTAGTACATTAGTCTTTTGAACTAGCTGTTCCTTCCACCTGGAAAGCTTTTCCATTTTATATCCATGTGGATTATTTTGCTACTCAAATACCACCTTATCAGTGAGTTCTGCCCTGACCAACCTAATTAATATTGCAGCCCATATTGTTCCTGCCACCACCCCAATTCCTGAGCTTCCTTACTATGCTCTGTGTTTTTTCCATAGCACTTATCACCTAGTGTGATGTTTATTTTTATGTTTTACTGAATATCTTTCTAATTTTATTTTCCAATAATTCATAACAGATGTACATATTTTTTAGTGTGCATGTGATAATTTAATGTATTCATATAATTTGTAAAGATCAAATCTGTAATTGTGATACCCATTGACTATCTTTCTCTGCTAGGATTTCAGTTCTAAGGGGACAGGGATATTTGTATCTTTCACCACTTGATGTATCCCAAGCCTAAAACAGCACATGGCAGGTTCTAAGTAAATACTTAATTCACTTGAATAGACTCTCCTGATTAGTCTCATCCTCCTAAATGCCATGTGTATGTTTGGCTTGATTTCTTTCATTTTAAGATAAGAACCTACTGCAGGAAAATTCATGGCCTGCTGGATGTGAAAAACTCAGATTTTAAAATTATTTTTTCCATCCTGTTGACTACAACATTCTTGACAGGAAAAGTAGTGATGGTGAACTTTTGTTTTATTCTGTAAGAAGTATGAAATACCTTTTAATGTTATTTTGAAGGCTTTTAAACAAAATACTTATAAGTGGTAAAATGATAAGAACACAGTAAGTATTAACTTGTGCATAAATTTTTGCCACAGAGTTTTAAAAGCAATAAAGGTTCTTGATAGAAAATATGGTGTATAAACTGGGGGCACGGTGACATACCCATAATTCCAGCACTTTGGGAGGCAGAGGCAGGAGGATTGTTTGAAACCAGAAGTTTGAGACAAGCTTGGACAACAAAGTGAGATCCTGTCTCTATCAAAAAATTAAAAAAAAATAGCTGGACAAGGTGATATGCCTGTAGTCCTAGCTACCGTGAAGGCTTAAGTGGAAGGATTGCTTGAGCACAGTAGTTCGAGGCTGCAGTGAGATAGGATTTTGCACTGCACTCCAGCCTGGGTGATGGAGTGAGATCTTGTCTCAAAAAAAGGAAATATAGTGTAACTGCTGCTCTGACTGCCATAGCAGAATACCATAGACTTGTTGGGTTAAACAACAAATTAATTTTTTCACAGTTATGGAGACTGGAATTCTAAGAACAATGGGTTGGTTTCTTGTAAGGTTCTATTCTCCTTGTGTTGCAGATGGCAACCTTCTTACTGAATCCTCACATAGCCTTTCCTCTGGTGTTTCTTCTTATAAGGACATTAGTCCTATTAGGACTAATTATGTCTCCAGAGCTCATTTATCTTTCATTACCTTTGAGATCATACCACAGTGCTTTTTCACTTACTATTATATAAAGTGACGATTGTAAAATTAGATGCTTACAGATTAGATGCTTACAGAAGTCAGGCAGGCAGTTAGGCAAGGTAATGGTAACTAACATATATTGAGCCCTAAGTTTGTGCCAAGTACTTTACTAGGGGTTTATATGTATTATTTTTCTTAACTTTTACAAAAACCTCATATATACCATTTTCTTTCCACATTTCAGATGAAGAAAATAAGGCATATGTTTGCAAAGGATACATTTAAGGACTCCCACCCAATAGGTAGCTGCATTAGCATTGAGACCCAACTGTTGAAATGACTGAAGTGGGCCGGATAGGTACTGTGGTGAACAGGAGAGCACATGCCCCATCCAAAGGGGCAGCCACTGCTCTTGAAGGAATAGTAGTCTAGTGTAGCAGATCTTTCAGTTTTTTGATAGCAGTAAAAAGTCTGGATTTTTTTGTGAAATGTTGGCCATTAATTAGGAAAGCAAACAAATAAAAAATTGATGAGTCTGACAAATCTTGTGTGCACATTGCATTCAGACCATGTTTATAAAATAGTGATCATAATAGTGTTATCTACATCCTAAGTTTGATGTAAGAACTAAATTGGGGTATTTTATGTACATTATAACATTTTGCTCAGTGCTTGGCATGTAGGGGTAAGTAAATGTTAGCTAATACTAAATATTAAAGAGAAATATTTTCTCCAGTCATCAAAATTCCTCATAAGTGTCATTTACTATTATTTTTAAGAAATAATATACATAACAACATGAGTACAGGTCTGTTGTAAAAAACTCAAGCAATATATAAATATAGAGAGTAAACAACAAGTTAAATTTGTTTCCTACTCCCAACCCCTTTCCCCTCTCCATATATAATTAAAAATCATGAGTTGTATACATTATTTATCTTTCTGGCTCTTGCTTTTTTCATGTAATACATCTTTGAGAGCTTCTGAAGTGAGTTTATACAAAGCCACTTTATTCTTTTTAAAGGTTACATGATGTATGTTTTAGTGTAAATGTACCATAATTTATTGAACTAGGTCTTTCAGTTGTCCTTTAGGTAGTTTTCAATATTTTGCTCTTTTGAAAAAGGCTCTGCAAAGGATATCTTTTTGGGCAATTGTGAATATTTCTCTAGGATAGAATCCTAGGTGGAATTACTGGTCAAAAGCATATTAAGAATTTTCAGTTATTACATCTTTTTTAGTAATTTTATGATATTTCATTTTATAAATCTACTTTTGTTTATTTATTTGTTTTTTTAGGGTGAGAAAGTAGAAGTTTACTGAGAAGACAGAAAAGCTCCCCTAGCAGGAGGGGACCCCAAAGAGAGTAGCCTAAATCTACCTTTATTGACTATACCATTTTTTTATGTTGATACTAAATGTTTCCGATTTTTTATCAGTATAAATATCTTTGAGTAGGTCATATTTTTAACAGATAAATAGTCTGAGAGGAAGTTATCAACTAATAAGTATATTTCTGAGACTTTCCCAAAGCTAAAATAAGAACTATATTTAGTGGTTAAAATACTATTTTTAGAAAGAGTATGGCTTTGATAAAATCATGACCCAGGGTTTTTAATGTTATACTCAAGATACTTAGAAACTTAAATATATGTTTCCTCTTAGGTCTTGCCATCTGTAATGAAGATTGTTGTGAGACAGAAGATTGAGTGAAGCTGTGTAACATCAGACCTGGATTAGAAATTTAGAAAAGAAAGTTAAAATTTGTCACTTTTATTTTAGTGTTCCAATTTCATAATATTTATTCTTCCTTCTAAATTTATTTAGGGAGTGGAAACAAAAATTCAGTGCTATCATAAAGGATGCATTAATATTCTAGTATTTGTTCTGGCTTTTTGTTTTTTCTTTTTGATGAGAGACAAAAGATAACCAAGAACTTTTTTTATAGTGGTTCATAATGAAATATACTAAACACAATTTTATGATGTCAGTTCTTGGCATTATAATCTATATAACTGATTTAATTGTGGACATATGGGTATCTGTCAGGTTTTTCCATGAAGGACAATATATTTTTGGTGTTTTAGCATTAAGCTTTATGCTTTTTGGAACACTTGTGGTTCAGTGTTTTAGTTATTCTTGGTTTAAGGCTGATTTAAAGAAAGCAGGCCAAGAAAGTCAGCATTGTTTTCTTCTACTTCATTGCTTGCAAGGAGGAGTTTTTACAAGGTAAGTATACACTTTTGGTCATTAACACTGTTTTTCTTTCATCCAGATGGAAACTCCCTGTTTGTATCTGGGTAGTCAAATGTACAAAGGTCCCCTATTTGCATATAGCACAAAGGTTACTTGCTTCTCACTGTTGGGGCTTATATAAGTCACTGCTGTACTGTCAGTTTTCCAGGTTCATTAATAAAGTATTTTAATTTAGCTAATTAGGTTAAATTTTCTGATATGTACTCAGTTTTTATGGAAAGAAAAAAAAGGACTTATTCTATGTTGTAGGAAACTTTTATCTTCTGTGCATATTCTAAGCCTAATTATTCAAATATAACCTATCACTTGTAACTGAGAGAACACTTAATTTTTAAAGTTACACTGTTGATTTAACAAAATGAAATTTTTACTGCAGTAATACACCAGCCATGTGGTTAGTAAGGTACAGTCATAGAACTTATGAATCATGTTGTTTTAAAACCTTATTTTATAGATAAAGAAAGAACTTATGAATCATGTTGTTTTAAAACCTTATTTTATAGATAAAGAAAGTAGAATCTAAATAGACCCTGTGCTAGGTGTAGTGGCTCACACCTGTAATCCCAGCAATTTGGAAAGCTGAGGTGGGAAGATTACTTGAGCCCAGGAGTTTGAGAACAGCCTGGACAACATAGGGAAACCTCACCTCTACTACAAAAAAATTAAAAAATTAGCTAGGAGAGTTGGTGTGCACCTATAGTCTCAGCTAATTGGGTGGCTGAGGTGGAAGAATTGCTTAAGTCCAGGAGTTTGAGGCTGCGGTGAACCATGATCATGCCACTGCCCTCCAGTCTGAACAATAGAGTGAGACCCTGACTTAAAAAAAAATTTAGACCTCCGAGACATTTATAATTCTCTGCATATTTAATTTTATATGACCTCTCCATTATTACCTTAAGAGATTTCATTCTGTTAAAGCAATATATATCTTGAAAGTAAAGGGAAAAAAAAAAAAGGAACGACAACCATTAAAAGAGGATAACATACTGCTTTTTTGCAGTTAGATTTTGAATTTGGGTTATTTTAATAGTTTACATTGAGGTTAGTTTTTGACTCTATGCTGTTAAAAAGCTACAAAATCGTGGCCTGTAGTTGGAAGTGTTTAAAAAATTCTAGGCTTTTCTTATACTAGTTAATAATAGCAATATCATTACATTTGTGTGGAGATTTATAGCTTTCAAAGTATTTTCCCATACCTTGTCTTTTTAAAACTAGAGTTGCTAAGGTTTTAATATGTAAAAGAAACAGAATCTGCAACGAGAAAAAAGTTTACAGGTTTTAGGAAAGCTGGAAAGAAAGTATTTTAGTTGTTGGAACTGGAAGTCAGTTTTGGAACTATACATTCTCAAGATGAAAATGTTTAAAGTAATGGAGTAAAAGTTAATGCTGATAAGTAAATACACGTGTAGTAAGTTAACATTTAATGAGTATTCTGTATGAGCAATAATGAGAATTATGTAGTTGTAATGTCTGAAGAAGAGTAAAAATTACTTATGCAGAGTTTGGTAATATGGTAAATTCTCTGTTATTTGCTATTCTGTTAATGGAAAATTTTCACATCTATGAAACTATTTTCATCGTGTTTTATATGATGACTTTAAGGTTCTGCAAGACAGTGTGTTATAAATTGTATTATAAAAGAAAGGCAAATTGCCTTAATTTTCATTATCTCTTGTTGCACGTGGTATTTATTTGAGTTGGAGTCTCACTCGGTTGCCCAAGCTGTGGTGCAGTGGCACACTCACAGCCACCCCAGTGTTGACCTGCTGGGCTCCAGCGATCCTTCCATCTCAGCCTTCCGAGTAGCCAGAATTACAGGCGAGCACTACCACGCCTGGCTAATTTTTGATTTATTGTAGAGATGAGGTTTTGCCAAGTTGCCTGCAGGCTCAGGAAATCTGCTTGCCTTGGCTGGGATAATAGACTGAGCCACTGAGACTGGCCACTTAGTATTTTTTGATTGAATGTCACACATTGTATTTAACAGATGATAGAGGCTCCAAATGATACTACCTTCTTCTCTGGTAGACATTTAGACTAAGGTTCAGCCTATTTTTAGTCTGCCTCTACTCCCAGGGTGTGGCCTCCGGGGCTCACACCTCATCTCACCTCTGCAGGTCCTCAACATTAATCTTTATATCTGTGGCTCCACAAAATTGCCAGAAACTCTGCTTTGCTTTTCCAAGACTTTCTGCTTAGCTTTTAGTCTTTATGTTATAGTTTCAAAATTTGGCAAAGGTCTTATTGGAAGAGCTAACAGATTTGAGGTCCTACAGTCCACACTCCCGTAAGAACTCTAAAACCTATGTTAGTTTCCCTGTTTCCAACAATGGACAAAATCTAGGTTTCTCAACCTATTGTCCCAAGAAACAGAAACAGCAAATACCTCTGGTGCCATGGCCCACCCAGCTGCCTTGAGGGTCCCGAGAGAGAGTGGGGAGGGATTAAGGAAAACACAAAGGCATAAAGAAAAGTTGGGGCCAGGTGGGACACTTTCCTCTGATGGAGGAGAAGTGGCCCCAAACTAACTTAGTACGTTATTTTATAATCAAGCACAAAGAAAGTTGGGAGAGATTCAAGGTCTGTGAGGGAGCTTTAATGGAATTATGTTGCTACCTGAAAGACGAGCTGTTCCACGGTTATCTTGTAGCTAAGGGTACGAGATGATGTACTACGTGCATCTGGATGTATGGGCCTCTGAGACGCTGTTCTGCGGAGCAGGCTGCATCTCTCACCTTTGACTAGGATGCAGAGTTACCAAGCGAGACCTGGCCTTTGCTTGGGGCCTTTACTCAAGGACTGCTACAGTGACAGCGCTTGTCCACTCCACACCACATCCGCTCCCGACACTCTGGGCCACAAGCACTGTAGAGATATCAGCTGTTTCTAGAGTTGTTTTGGTGGGAGCATTGGTCTGCTCCAATATACTGCATCTTACTTAGAAATGTAGTCCATAATGTGCAATCTTAAATTATTCCAAGTATAAAGTAAAACAAAACTTTTACTGTCAATATCAATAGTATAAATAGCTCAAAACATTTGAATTCCATTTACCATGTTCCCAATTTATACATTAATATTGCTGGCAGCTGGGTGCAGTGGCCCTTGCCTATAATCCCAGCACTTTGGGATGTGGAGGCGAAAGGACTGCCTGAGCCCCCAAGGGTTCTAGACCAGCCTGGGCAACTTGGTGAGACTTTGTCTCTGTAATTAAAAAAAAAAAAAAAGGCTGGGCATGGTGGCATGTGCCTGTAGTTTCAGCTACTTGGAAAACTGAGGTGGAAGGATTACCTGAACCTAGCAGGTCAAGGCTGCAATAGCCGTGAGTGTGCCACTGCACTCTAGCCTGAGCGACAGAGTGAGACTCTTAACTAAAAAAAAAATATTGCTGGCACTTTAATTCCTATTTTTATTATTATTGCATTTTCTACCTTACATAATTAAATGCCGTGAAATTTGTTCATACTTATCCACATATTTTCTACTATATTTTTTACTCCTTCTTGAATCTCAGACCTTCTACCTAGACTCACTTTTCTTCTGCTTTCCTAAAGTCCATCTTTTAGAATAAATTGCATCTGTTGAGGGTCTGTTGGTGAAATCATCTCTCAATTTTTGGTGTTTGAAAATGTCTTTATTTTACCATCTTTCTTGAGAAATATTTTAGTGGTTATGGAATTCTAGGTGAATAGTTATTTTTTCTTTGCATATTCTCCCGTTTTTTGGTTTCCATTGTTCTTTGGCTTTTTTTTTTTTTTTTTTTTTTGCCTGCTTTTTTGAAAATGTATTCTTCCTCCCTTTGGCTGCTCTTATGATTTTTCTCTTCATTTGTCGGTTTCTACAATTTAATTATATGTGTAGATGTAGATTTTATTTCTCTTGCTTAGGATTTACTGGTTCTCTCGATTCTGTGGATTCTTATCTTCTATCAGTTCTGCACAGTTCTTAACCATTATCTTTTCTAACATTTTCTTTACTGCAGTTCAGTTTCTTTCCCATCTGGGACTCCAGTAAAATGTAAGTTAGAGCTTCTCACTGTATCTCACAAGACTTAAATGTTAGATTTTGAAATTCCTATTTTTTGACTCTCTGTGGAATTTTTCATAGCTTGTTAATTTCCCAAGCATTTTCTTTTGCTGTGGACAAGATGATATTACATCAAAGCAATGAGTTTTAAATTTTGACTATTATAAGTTTTATTTTCAGAAGCTCTATTTAATTATTTTCGAGTCTGCAATTTCTTTTTTCTTTCTTACTTTCTTTTTTTTTTTTGTGAGTTGGGGTCTCACTCTTGCCCAGGCTGGAGTGCAAAGGAATGATCACGGCTCATCACAACCTCAACCTTCTGGGCTCAGGGGTCCTCTTGTCTCATCTTCCCATGTTGAGTAGCTGGGACTACAGGCACTTGCCACCATGTCTGGCTAATTTAAAAAAAAAAACCTTTTTGTAGAGATGAGATCTCGCTAGGCTGGTCTTGAATTCCTGGACTCAAGCTATCCTTCCGCCTTAGTTTCCCAAAGTGCTGGAATTACAGGTGTGAGCCACCATGCCCAACCCTATTTCACTATTTATAATTTCCTGTTCAGTGCAGATCTTTCCAAATGTGTCATTTATATCTTGAAGCATAGTTGTTTTATTTATAATTCCAATATCTGAAGCCCTTTCAGGTTTGTTACTATTGGTTTTGCTTCTACTATTGGGAGCTCATATTGCCTTGTTTTCCTGTTCTCCTGATATCAGTTGATTATGTTCTGGTCATTGGTCATGGCCTTTGAAAAAACAATTTGAAAAACTAAGCCTGCTCCAGAGGCTTTGCATTTGTTAATAGGAGATGCCTGGAAGTTCTATCAGTTGGGGTCTACATTTAATTCCATGGCTTGAGGTTCCCTGGCCTAGAATGAACACCTAGAATGTAAATCTGTTCATGGAAAGTCTGTGTCTACAATACATCAATCAATATTTAAACAAATTAA